GATTATCTATTAGGAAGTTCAAAGAAACACACATTAATCATACAAATTAACCCTTCCTGTACATGTATCCAGTTGAAAAATATATATGTTGAAGTTTTACATATTAGTTCATTGTGCAATCAAGCTAACGTTTATTAGAATCATCCGAGTGAAACGTGCTAGTACTTAAATTGGGAGTTCATATGTAATGAGAAGAGAGAGAGGGAAAGAGGATCAGGCAAGAGCGAGTAGCCCTCAGCAGGGTGGTGCTTTGGCCATGAGTGAGACTGTGAGAGAAATGGGGTTGGGCTGGTATTAGGGATCGGGTGAAAGTTCTTGGGCACTTACTAAACTGCTATAAGAATATAAAACACCAGGGTTCTTCAAGCTTTATGCATTTGATTAGCAATCAATGAATGAAAAGCTATAAGCTACATATGAAACCACGCGAAGCGGCTTTTTCTTTTTTTTAAACAAAAAAATAATAATAATAATAAAATACAAGGCAGCTATACCACTTATCTGAAGCAATCAGATACAAGTTATGTTTGTTTGTGCTGAGTTCAAAAATTGATTGAATCAAGTAGGAAAATGATTGAGTTCAACTATTTTTTAGGATTTCATATTTTTCAATTCCTACTTGCAACCTTCCAGATGGATAGACTGTATGATTGTACATGCCCAATATGTGACCTCGCACAATGTTATTTTGTTGCTATTTTGGAGTTGGGGGTGGCAATGAGGATGGATAATTACATCTGTCAAAAGGTAGCAGACGAGCAGGTGTGGTACGAATTAATGGGCATGGGGCAGGGAAATTCTGCCTCTGACAGGTTCATGCTGCGCCACAGGCCAATGCTGTCCCACCCTATCCAACTTGACTCTCGATCACGGGACTTGTCCTGGACCCAAATCATTGTCATCTTTGGACTACTATTTGCTTCAATGCCCATAATTTTGGTTTTACATCTTCATACACTTCTATTCTCCAATTGCTGACCTGTGTTTACGGATAGTTTAATATGTATTCTGTTATGGGCAGAAATTATCATTATTAGAAGATGCACTGTATAAAGCTGATTCTAGTGATCCAGTTGTTATTTCTGCCACTATCAGTGAATTCTCGCTGGCACCAAATGTGAAAGAAAAGAGTGCTTTCCACCGGTAAGTATAATCCTTGGTCTAGCATGATCAAATCTATTTTTTGGGGACTACTGACTAAAGAATCACACAATATGTCTGCATGAGTTAAAAAGTAAATCTAATCACCATTGAAGGTCCTCTCCAGTCTCCATTCCATATTCCAAATTCCCTCATTTTATGCTACTCAATTAGGTCTTTTGAGTTTGTGACTATAATCATGTTGTCTTTTAACTAATTCCGCTTGGAGAAGGAGTCTCTTTGACCTTTTTATATATGATTTCATTACCTTTGTGCCCTTGTTATGAAGAAGCCTTCATCTCATAGACCTTTTTTCAAGCTTGTTGTTGTGTTGCTTGCACACTCAAATTTTTTGACTTGCCAAGTCAAATTTCCTTGTATCTTTTGTTTGTCCTAGATGTTTCTTTTCATCTGTTAGAACTTTGTTATCTGGCATCATGTCCCATTTCCCAGTCTCATTTTCTTGCCACTGCATCTACAGGTTGAATATCATCAATAAATGTTTTTCCTGCAAAACAATTGAAGAGATTATATTAGCCCTTGTAAGTTGAAAAGGCAAATCTGCATATGCAAATTATACTCGAAATTTTATATGTGGTGCTGCATACTCAAGCAATGGTTGAATTTTAACAGTTCATTGACCAATTTTTATTTTTATTTTTATATTTTTAATGTTTCGAGGAGAGGGAGGCTGCTGACAAGGATGACGAGTGGATCTCTTCAACACTTCAGTCATTGAAGAAAGCGTCCCCTACAAGCCTTAAAATTTCTCTTAGATCAGTATGGTTTTTTGCTTTCATTCTTCATGCTATGTTATTAAGTTCAATGAAAAGTGGAATTAAGTGACTCATTTAATTGTAATTCTCATTTGATGTCACATTAGTACCACCTAAACTAGCGTTTTTAACTATAGTGGTATTAAATAACATTATTGCTGATTATATGTATATCTTACTCCGTGTATGTGTGTGGTAGGGGATTTTTTTTGGTTGGAGGGGGGGGGGAGATGCTTGACAGCTTGAGCATTGTTTACAATCTTAAAGACCAAAAAAGTGGAGACTTATTATTGGAATTATTTGTTGTTGTAGCTTTTTTAAATCTCATCTGACACCACCATGGGGGTGGATTATTTATTTGTGCTGAAAAGATGAAAACAAAATACATAGTAAGTTGAAATTTTTACTGGTGGGATGGAAATACAAGTTGAATTTAAGGATTCGGAATTGGTAAGATCTTTACAGCTTTAAATATGTTAATTTGGTTTTCGTGTACTATCCAGATTAGAGAAGGGAGGCTCCAAGGCCTTGGTAAATGCCTTCTTCGAGAATACGGACTGGTTTGGACTATCATGCGTGGAGAAATAAATAAGGACTTTTTTGAGGTGAACCAACTCAACCTTTTACCTATGTACTCAGTCACCTGTAGATGTCTGAAGTCATCTTCAACTGCAGGGATGCAGAGCCATACTCTTGGACAAGGATAAGAATCCAAAGGTGCATGGATATTTCTACTCGTTCTTGTATTTAGTCTTATGAGTACAAACATACTCCTCTGTGTTCTTATCGAGACTTTCCTTACTCTGTTTCTTCTTTTCCAGTGGGAACCCGCCAAGCTGGAGCAAGTCACTGAGGATATGGTTGACCGCTACTTCTCGAAGATAAATGACGAGGACTGGGAAGATTTAGATCTCCCAAGAAGGTCAAACATCCCTCCATATGCTATTGCTAAACTTCAAATTTTATCTTAATAGCTTTGTGTCTTTTGGTACACAAACACGAGGACATAGATTAGCCCAGAATTTGGTGTAGGAGGCCTATCTTTTTCCTATCGGGCTGTTTCCCCGATTTTATAGTATTCAGATAGATAAATAAACCTGAGTCGTAAAATTATATCATGACAAATGCTACTCAAAAGTATGTATGTTGATTATATTTCAAGAGAAACATTCGTATGATTAAGCAGGTTAAAAAAAAACAAGTACTCCAGTTTTGGAATAGTTACCTTCATTTACTTGCTTCGACAATGGTTGTAATTGTTTTTCCCTTTTTTTTTTGGGTTTATTTAAAAAGGATGATAAATTCGTCATTCTACAATTTTTTAATTGAGAAAATGGATGGCAAAATTGTTTTTTGTAACATTTGCTTGATCTGAAAAGATATTGCGCCATAATGAAATGATATGGTTGTTCTGTCCAAAACATGTTATGTGCTAATTATTCGTGCTCCTAATTGCTAGTTCATTTAGTGGGATATTTGAAATCACTGAAATTACTCCATTTCGAACAGAAATGAATGATGAATAAATGAATATTATTTGTCGGTTTATTCATGTGACTATTTATAAATAATATCATAAATTAGCCAAACTTAGGTTAAATAAGTAAATAATAAAAATAATATAAGCATCTGAACTGTTTTGAACTTTAAAAATTGAGAGAACGTGCTTTGCAAAAATAGATACAATTTTAGTTTTCCTTGACACCGTAAAAATTCATCGTAAAGTAGTGCCTAATTCCAATAGAAAGTGTGATAGTTTATAGAAACTTGAGAAGTTTGTCCTAATTTATCTTCTTCAAGAGATTAGTACACACTTTGACAATGGTGACTACGTTGTTAATGTGAAAAGTTCGGTACATATGAGTACTATCTTTAAAAGAAAAAAGTTTTTCATCGAAAATACGAAAATTTTCATGTTTCTTAAGTTTGGGGAGTAAAGTTGACTCATTATTTCAAATAGAATAATACTATCTAACACCAGTGATGTTAGAACATTCGTATATATGGCATTATGTGAAATATTCAATTAAAGATGAAATTATATGATTTATTTAATTAAATCTATAATTTAATGTCACTAGTGCCGTTATCTAAATTGATTTTAAACACCAGTTGAACAAAATGGTATCACTTTTTCAAAAATGGGGAAGTAAACGCCTCAATTTCCAACTTATCAACTGTGCCGACCTCTCCTTCCCGAAAAGTCATATGCATGCATTTGAACCTATCCATTATATTTTTCATTTTTCAATTTTTTTTGATTTTTTTTTGTTTTTTTTTTTTTGATTTTTTGTTTTTGTTTTTTTTTTATTGCTTTGAAATCGTTTCCAAGTCAAAGATCTGGGGGAAGACGGAATATTTATTTAGCTTTATTGTCTCCTTTTTTGATGAAATAAATTACAGTTTAATTTCTCATTATTTCCTGAATTTTCTTTGGAAAGATATGCTAAATAATTGGTAAAAATTAAGCCTTTTAAATGTTATTGTTTAACTTGTAAAGATGAAAGCAAATTCAATTTATTTAAAACATAAAGAAGACGTGATAAGCAAAATGCTGGACAAGTAATGTGCGACATAATTTCTCCATTTAATTAATCTGAAGAAAATAAAACTACCCTCTCATCGAAGGTTATTTTTGGCACATCGTAATTTGATATCATTTTAATACAGAATAATCTTTTATTGAATTTGTGTTGTTTAATTCCATAAAATGTTCGCATGTGTGTGTGTGCATATATATAAGATAATTCGATAAATGTTGGATTTTTGTCACTTAAAAAACAACGTTAAATGTCAAAATCGATTATAAGGGTACTCATCAAACAATGTCTCTTCAACCTTCTTGCAAGTTACTCGACTCGACAAATATCACCAATCACTACAACAATAACCTAACCATTGTCTTATAATTTGGTGTGTGCGTGCACCTAGTAATATGTCAATGTTGCGTAGCATAAATTAAGTAATGATAAGTAGATCAATTATATATCTAAAATAAAAAACATAGTTGAATTATGACAAAAAGTAAAATAGCTTGTAATTAACCAAAATATATTATGACAAAAAACCTCTTCGGAACAGCAACATTATTCTTCTGATAGATATATATACATACTAATATGTGGCTAGCTAGTAATTAAGATGTCTTACGATCATCATAGGCACATCGAATTCATATGAAGAAAACCTTAACCAGTGCGCACCCGAAGGATAGCAGCTGCGAGTTTCCCAAAAAAAAAAAAAAAAAAAAAAAAAACTTTAAAAAAATAAATGGTACAATAATTTCTTTGGAAAAAAAATACCAAATCATATTTCCTTTAGCAAGAATATTCATTTTCCAGCCCCAAATAACCCTTCAACTCTTCAGGGAAACAAGGGTAGCGGCGCCACCGTCTGCTATGCAACTTGAATATATTCACTACCCTATCCTTGGTGGTCGACCGCCCACTGATATGCAACAGTGTCACCAGCCTCTTCACTGTCCCACATACCAACATTTCCTCCAAAACACTTTCTGTGGAATGAAAATTGCAAAGCAACCATACAATTTTCACGCCAATTTTTGTTGCAGCTTCTGACACATTCAACAATTTCTTGCATACGGCTGCAATTCCTAGATCGTGTTCAATAAAGGCCAATCTTCCTTCAGCGCATTCACTTATAAGTTTGATTAATTGCATAATTTTCTCACACTTCGATCTGTTTGAATCTGGTAGAAGCTCGATTAGGGTACTAACTGCACCAGCTTCAATGGCTTTTAGTCGACTTTTCTTCGACGCATCCAAGATTCCTATCAGCACTTGTAGGGCACATGAGCTTGCCTTTGTACAAATTTCATCTGATGTTATTTCTATTAAGGACTTGAAGAATTCTATACCTTGATCTTGTGCAACATAATTCCAATGATAATCAGCTTTAGCCATCTTCTGAAATATCGAAATGGTATAAAACCGCGCCTCACCGCTTCCTCTTTGAAGCATTATACCCATGGATTTCATACACTCAGGCTCCATCAACAACTGAACTGACTCATCATCTTCTTCTTCAGAAAATAGTAGAAGCTGCAGAACCCCTAAAGCCTCTTCACAAGCCCTAAATGTTACGAAATCCGAGCTTTCGACTAAAACCTGTGTAATTATCCTAACAAGAACCTCCACACCTTCTAATCTCTTGAAATCATCCTTTATTTCATCTCCTATTTCAAGAATAGATTTAAGTTTCTTCAAACAACTCACCTTAAACGGGGTCGACTCGATCGTGCCAAGAAGTTCCATCAGTTCATCATGTTTGATCGAATGTCGGCCTGCTGATGATGAACTGCATGATTGATCACCAGATCGTGCATTTCTCCATGTAAGAATCAGTCTCTTGAGAGTATGATTTGGAGTCATATCCAAACTCTCAATACACTGCATTGTAGCAGGACATATGTTCTTCTTGTATGTGCAGAACCATCTTTCAATACTTTTTCTCTCGTATGTGACCCCTGTGGAGATTGTTACAGGATCCTTCATGAGCTCCATGGAAATGGGGCATCTAAAATCTTGAGGGAAATTCATGGATGGATTTTTCTCCTTTTCCATTGAAGCTGATTGAAAATTATAAAATATTTGTAGATACTATAAATAATGTAGTAATTAGCGTAAGAAGTGGGGAGATGGAATAAATCAAAGTCAAAACTGCCATTAATTGCTGTCGAAACGTGGAAGGGACAAGCGTTGTACAAATGGTAAAATTAATGTTTTCAAAACCCATTTTTGCGTCAGTTGCAACATGAACCCCAATGTTTTATCCTTCTTTTTTTTAGCCTCCTTTATTTAATTAGTATAGTTTTCTTTGGTATTTGTTTTATTTTATTTATTTTATTTTGTATTTGAACTTCATTCAAAATTACTACGTATAACAGTATTTGATGTTATTCATTTCTCTTTCTTTTTTAACTTAAAATCATGTCATTCATTTTTTGAGATGATATTTATTTCTCATTTTTCACTTAAAATTGTTGGACATATCAATTTTTGATATTTTTCTCTAACACATATAACTACTTTACAATGGTGGGTTCGGAAATTATTATTATTTTTATTACAAATCATCGACTGTCTATATTTCATTAAGGGCCTGTTTGGGCCCGATTTTTCACCCAAAAAATTAATTTTTTGACCGTTATTTCACTATTCCAGCCGTCATATTTGACTTCTTCTCTCATAGGTGAACCCCACTTTTCTCCTAACGGTCAAAAAATCAATTCTCAAAATCACTCCCAACAGATTCTAAACATTCCATATGGAAGTGAACATTTAAGTACAAAACTCTCTCTCTCTCTCTCTCTCTCTCTCTCTCTCTCTCTCTCTCTATATATATATATATATATATATATAGTATGTATGTATGTATCCCGAATAAAGTATAGATGATTTGTATTCCAAATTTTATTGTGGATTCAACTAACTTCTTATATCTATTTAAGAAGGAAAAAATCAATTGAAAACATAAAGTGCTTGTAATTATGAAATATCTTATAAGTCCTGAAAGATCTAATAAAAATATGTTAATTGTTATAAAATGAGAGGAAAAGAGAATAGAGAAAACTCAATAAACTTTTTGTGTGTATTATTGAAAGCCAAAACCCTATATTTATAGGTAAGAATTAGGGATACAATGGTAATAATTTCTAGGGTTACAGGGGTACAAATGTCATTCGCCAATAAACTTTAATGAATTTTTCATTTACAATACTCCTCATTGAATGACATATTACAAAATATCTGCCTCGTTAAAACTTTGTTTGATAAAAATCCAATGGAAAAAAAATCAAACGAAGGAAAAAGAGTATAGTTATTTTGGAGTATTAAAATTAAATGCTGCTTCATTAAAATCTTGTTGGGAAAATCCAATGGGACAAAACCTAAGCGAAAGAAAAAGAATACAGCTTCCCCCTGATGTTGATTACTGAAAATCTTTGAGTCGACGCATTCTAATCTCATGAACTAATTTCTTGAATGTAGATGTTGGCAGTGCTTTTGTGAATAGATCAGCCACATTGTCACTTGAGCGAATTTGTTGAATATCAATGTCACCATTCTTCTGAAGTTCATGTGTATGAAAGAATTTTGGAGAAATATCCTTCATCCTGTTGCCTTTGATATAGCCTCCCTTGAGTTGTGCGATACAA